CACTTGCAGACTTGCAAGAATTTCTAGTTATTATATTATGAACATAATATGATTTAGGTACTGTAATTTGCAAACGGTTTTAGCTATAAATATGTGATTTTTTTGGGGGGAAGTCGCGTACCCAATTAACATAGTTCCCTCCCCTTTGTTCGGGGAAACAAATTAACTGGTAAAATAATCAAAATTCACCATGAAAAGAATAAATTATCGAGCCCGGCCGGTCGAGGCCAGTTAATTTTGTACTACGCCATTTATTGACACTCATCAAAATCGGTGTAATATATTTTTGTCAATAATACATTTTCATGTATAGCGTGTGCAAATATATATCTGTATAATTAAAACTACTTTTTAAAAACCGGTAGGTATTTGCAGTTTGTTTGCTCCGGCAATAGCATAGCACAGCACCAATTAAAAACAAAAATACATATTTTTGTTGTTTTTTATCATCCTAATTTAATTATGAACTCGGGGGAAAACAATATTTTTGTTTGCCATTGTGTACAGCTTTGGTTTATGTACAAGTAAAAAATTGCCGGGATAATATTATTAAGAAAGTTTGGTAGGTATTTTTTTTTGGATTTCCGCTGCCGGGATTTGCCCGTGCTTTGTTGAAGCAAACATAAAATAAGTAATATATATATATATATATATATATATACACACACAAATGGCATAACGTTATAATTTATGTCCATGGCCGAGCCAAAGGGCGAAAAGCATAAAGAGCACACCTACCCACTGTTACTCTTTGGTGCAAAAAGGGGGTGCGATAGGTGTGCACCGCGCATGCGCCCGGCCGGTCGCCATTGAAACAGGGCTACCAATCGGTTAGGTTAGGCTCCTTCTCCACGGATGTGCTTTATGCGACAATATGCTTTACACACAAAATACAATTTTCCACGTCCAACCAAAATGGATAAATTTATAATTTAGAAAATAAGGAGCACAACAAAACAACAACCTTAGTCATTTAAAAACAACAATTGTCCAGTGAATCTTATTGCTCTAGTTTAAGGTATATTTTTGAGTGTACTGTTTACTGTATATGTATGCCTAATATTAGAGGGTGCCATTTTATTTTACTTTATTTGCTTGTTTAATCTTATATTTATGTACTTATATATGTTATTTATATCATATGTTCACTCACCTTATTAATAAATGTGAATTTTATATAGGTTGGTACCTACTGCTACGGGACATAATAATGTAATTTAATAGAAATAGAATACGAGCGCTAGTCTTAATATCCGTTACTTAATGTTTATTAATTGGTGGTATATATTGAAATAATATGCAAAATTACCTTACTTGGTTTAATATTTATATTTGTTGTATATTTTGTTCTCAGCCCCGTCATTTTGTTGCTGGAAAGAAGCCGCAAATTCGAGGCAGCACTTTGCCCTACATACTTATTCTTCTTGCCCTAGCCTTTTATAAATAAGTTTAACTTTCTTGACTTTTTAAAAACCCAGTGTGGCGATTGAAATGAAAAAAAATCGACGTCGATGACTTTAAGAGCTTGTTGTATAAGTAGGGTACAGTTGTGCACTTTTATGTTTAACGAGGGGTGGAAAAAAATATTATTTTTAACAAGTATGTACTCAAAAGAAACAAAAATAATCATAGGCGCCTGTGACAAGAGTCTCGACTGACACTCCAAAGGTCTCTTGTGTACGATTATTTTCTGAGTAAACAGTTGTGTTGTATGTCTAAAAGTGGCCTTTAAAGTGAACGGATAATAATTAGGAAGGGAAATTAAACAGCGAAATAACTAAGAAATTAGTGTAGATAGATTTAAAGAGAAAGAGACAGGCCGATGGAGACGTTATAGGGTGGATGCTATAAATAAACACAATAATGAACACATTTATGCGGAGTGAAATTATTTGTGGGGACAGATGACTTGGCCGATACAAGCTGAAGAATACAAAGATAATAATAATTATATTCTACCAATCTAATGGATCTGATCAATTTTCTATTACACAATATACTATAATGATTTAAACACAATTTTTCATTAAATATAAATACATGATAAAATTGTTTTCAAATTAATTGATTATTATACAGTATACTTACCCATTGGTAATTGTTTCTGTTAGAAAATTATTTAACGAATGCGTTTATAATGATTTTTTTCTATAATACTTGATAAAGTAATAAAAATATAAAGAGCTGTAACGTTATATTATTGTTATAATGTCCTGTACCTACTCAGCAACGAAATACCTAATCGCAAAAAGGCGATCGACAGTGTGACCACTTTAAATAAAAATTAATACAATTGTTTACAAGTTGTTAAACACTGTCATACCTTATCATAAAAATACGACCAACTAATTTAAATAAAGAAAAAGGTACAGCCTCTTCTGGGGATGCTTGATAAAATTGTAAAAAGAAAAATAATAATTAGCAATAGTGTTATATTAATTTCCAAGAACGTTGCCCAGAGGTTAATAATTCGTGTTTTTCGTTGTAAGTAATTGTAAAATGAATAAAATTTATAAAAGAAAAATATGCGTGTGCAATGTCAGACAAAGGTCTGACATGAATTATTACAACTGAAAATGATAAATCACTTTCAAGTAAACGCTTTGAAAGCGAATCTGTAATGGTAGAAATACAAATATCGATAGAAGCATTGTACCTACCTAATGACAATGCGCTTGAAAATATATTTTTACCATACAAAATAGTGGATACGATTAGGGTCATCGATCGTCTGTCTATATAATAATTTATTGCCATAGTTACCCAAAGTATAGCAATTAAAACTATAATGAAAATATTTTCCAAATACCTGTTGACTGTTGATTCGATCACACATATAGTAACTTAGCAATTGACTATATACAAAGTGTAATTTCCCCCCTTTTTTTTTTTTATATTTCCTTAAGAAAAAAAAAATTTAAGTACACATTTTGAGAAAATTATAGATATTATATAATATGTAATACCCTCATTGTACATTCTACATTAGGTTTGATTTTCAAACCTTAATCTCATTAAAACTTCACCAAAAACTAGAAACGATAAAAAAGTTTTTGCCGTTAATCGGTAATACTATTTCTAAAGGATTGTCGATACAAATTTAAAAGTAATTGGATTGTTTATTTAAAAAAATATACTTGGGTAAATTTGAAAAAAAAATAGTACATTAAACTAAATCTGCCTCTGTGACTGACAAACATCAATAGGTAAATTTTAGATTTTCTGAAAAAAGAAATAAACATTTGTAATGAACCAATGCCATCCTCAGCTAGGTTTTATAAAAAAAAAAAAAAATTGATCCAATTAATACAATATATCATTAGTCTATTTACTAATGGAGAATAGATGTTAGTCATAAGTCATGACCGAGCTAGGGCCGGTACAAGTTACAAACGATACTGGAGACGTGATGGCCTGATTTACGGCACCTTTACGTTGAATCCACAATAATAATATTTAATGTCAAAAATAAATGCTAAGACTGGAGAATATTATATTATGTTGCTAAATCCTGCCATGCGCCAAGTTTACTTACCCACACGTTATAATATCGTTACTTAATTTCTTCCTTTAACTCACTATTCATGAATAATAAACTATAAGACGTATAATGACTACAGGGGACTCTAATGTCTGTCTTCCTCTCAAGCTATTCACCCTTTATTTATTATTATTTAATATCTTATTTACTTATTGTACATCATTTTTTGTGCAATTGAATAAATATTAATTTTAAAGTGACCTTAAAAAAAAATGTATCTCTTCATTATTATTCTGTAACAATCATAAATACAATAAAATAATAAAAAACTCTTTTTTCATCCCGTGTTCTACAAACTATTTCAAAATACTATACATTTATTTTTAGGTTGGAGGTAAAGGTCGATTAATTATATTTTTTGGACTAAGTCTAGATAATTAAATGTATTAAATGTATTTTATTGTAAACATTATTTTTCGAATGAGAAGTTTAAATTATTTAGTTCCAACTTATAACTATTTTGAGTAGTGTATCAGCGTACTCAATGCATTTTGAAAGTAACACTTTAAAAAACTACTACTAGTATAAATTAATGTTCTCTGAAGTAGGTTTTGGACCTTCAATGCGGTACAACTCATATAGTAGGGAAAACAAATGACAAATTAAAAAACAGGTCAAATTAATTAATATTAATTTGACATATGACAGTAAAATGGAAATAAATGTATTAAAAAATAAAGTAAAAATTAAAAACCGCGTTAGTTATTAAAAACAAGAGATAAATATACAAAATCTAAAACTATTGGTTTTTTAAAAAGTAAAATTAATTATTTAAATGAAAACCAAATTTATATATCACAAATAACCCTTTGGTTATGTTTAAATGATTTTCTTGAATGCCTTTTCCCATACTTGTGAACTATAAGAATGGTATAAATCTACTTTAGGAATTATCTACAATTATTGTACGTGTCCGGTGTACGCTTAAAAATAAATGTAGGTAATTTCAGGGCCTTTTGACCTATTTAAGTAAATATTATCTTATAATTTCAATAGTGTTAAACTATACTTAATCGTTGGGCGAGAACGGCCTGATAATGTGTTAAAAGATCATTAATGACAATAGCTGACGGCAAAATATAGGTAGGTACAGAAGACGGATGAAAAATCATTAATTTACCATGGCATTACGGTAATTAGAGTGTTTTTCTTTCGATTCATAATAATAATTGGTCGTTTAATTTAATATGTTCCGATAAAATGTATTTTATTAATTTGCATTTGAAAAATTGTACAAAACACAAAATTTATGTAAATTTCCAAATATTATGCATAGAATAATGGATGATATTATGTTTGCTTTCGCCCGTCATAGTGATAACAAAATTTCGCTTATCAACAGCGGCCGCGGTCACGACGGCTTGTAACCACTCGGTAACCGCGGTTGAATCACCGCGTATACCGCGTTATCCCGGTTTCGCTGATACGACGGCGTCTGGCGTCGTGGCGCGGCGGCCGGCCACCGTCGTAAACAAACCGACGCCACTCGCCGTGGTCCGTGACCGTAATCTGTAGTTCGCGTTGTGTAGCGCACGACAATATTATACACGCTTGACGCCATCTTTTTCGCTCGCGTCCAACGTTCGTCAGCATAATATTATTTTACACCCGGGAAATCCGAACTTTTCTCGGCATCCGATTTTTGATATCCATTGGTTTTAGTTTTTATAACAGAGTCTTCGAAATGGCCTACAATCGTCGTAGCGGTGGCGGTGGCGGAGGCGGCGGCGGTGGCTATGGAGGCGGCGGCGGCGGAGGAGGCGGTGGCTATGGAGGCGGCGGCGGAGGAGGCGGCTACGGCGGATACGGTGGCGGAGCCGGTCGGTTCAACAGCGGAGGAGGTGCCGGCGGCGGATATCACCGGCCTGGAGTGAACCCTTGGCAATCTGGAGGTGGAGGCGGCGGCGGCGGCGGCCCTGCCGTAGGGGCTCGTCAAGGACCACAGCAACAGCAGTACTCGATGGCCAGCAATCTGCTTAAAATCCTAAACAATTCCCCGGTGAGTATGGCTTAAGACGGCCGGTAGAGTATATTTTTGTATTATTTTGTTATTGACACAATTATCGTTCGGTCGCGCCACAGTCGTCGGGCCCTGGCGGAATGGGCGGAGGTTACGGAAACAGAGGAAACTGGGGTGCCGCGTCTGGACCGTCGCCGCAGAGAATGATGGGCTCTTCAATGCGTAGTCCGGCCGGAGGCTATAACAAGGTTGGTACTTGAAGTTGTTAATTAATGACCGAGTTTGGAGGCGGCGACGGCCCTAAACGGGTCGTTCCAGCTTGGCATGAATTGAATTGAAACTCATTCGTGTGTGTAATTATGTCTCTTTAGCGATCCCAAGGAAGATACTCTGGTGGCGCTCGTAAATCTGGTAAGGACGCCGATAAGCGTAAATCTGCCGGAGGAGGACCCAAACCCAACAACGAAAACAGCAATGCAAACAACAAGAAAGGGTAAGTTTACTGAATTACATGTCAAAATTGTAATCGATTTAAGCGGGTGTTCGTTAAACATTTACTCTTACTGTAGGAACGAACGGACCAAAGAACAAATGGAAGCCGATAAGCGAGAATCCTACTCGGGTGTCCCCAGTGCAGTGTTGTACTGTCATGTATGTTCAAAACATATGTGGGATTCTGAAGTACGTATTATTGTCAGGTTGAAATAGTCATTCCCACAGACAAATATAGTTTTTAAATAAACAACGAAACTATTCAATTCCATTAAATGTTGACATTTATTTATAAATAGAAATTATATATATTTTTCCCATAACGATTAATTTAATTGTTCTTGTTCTGTTTGTCTCTAGTCGTTTGAGAAACACGTTCGAGGCAGACCTCATGAACTTATGATTACTTATTTGGACGAGGCGTACAAAATGAAAGTCGACTTGATGCGCCATCAAATCAAGGCCGTTGAGAATCAAAGAGAAATCGATTTGGAACGTGTAACAAACCATACTAAAAAAATTGGTGGCAAAGCTGGCGGTAACAAACCGCTTTTGAGAAGTTACTGCCCAATGTGCGATGTCCGTTTTTACGGTCCATTAACTGGCCACAGAAAAAGTGACCGTCACAGAGTAAGAATTAACGAAATTATGTTTTCTAGTAATACTTTTAAAGTATTATTGTATAATTTTTTTTAATATTATTATTTTATATTCAATAGAGATTGAAGCAGTTTTTACATCCGGAATGTAAGCTGTGCAATGCTCTGTTCCACACACGTTTGGAGATGGACGAGCATAAACTCACGGCTGGACATTTGAAAGTAAGTAAAAAAATAAATGATTAACCCCTTTCAAAGAGCAACCAGCATTTGACACCTTCTTTACGACAATAGCAATATAAATTTTTTAAAAACTGTTTAAACGTAATCAATACTATCGTACGTAGTTGTTAGGTCCCTTAACTACTTTGTAATATTTGTATGCACAATGTCGGGTTAAAGATTATTAATTGATATATTTGTATTTATTATTATAGAAAGTTGCCAAATTTAGAACTGACGAATATCCGGAATTGAAAAATGATGAGTTCGATTTAATTGATATGATCAAAATTGAAGGTATTAAAAATAGTCATACTTTCTTTTAATTATCGTCATAAATCTAGTGTATTGTAGTACAATAATTTTGTAATTTATTTCAATAAATGTTCAGTCGAAGACCAATTGGACGATCAAGACCAGATGCCCGTGGCTAAGAAGTATGAAATGCTCGGCGATCGAGACGCCGTCAAGGTGAAATTGGAAATGGAAGGAGGAACGGGCAAAGAAACCAAAAACAAACCGGCACAAGAGAAAGTCGAGGAAGAAAAAGAAAAGAAAGAAGAAACCGAAGCGGCCGCGACCGAAGAAGAAACCGTCGCCGTCAACGAGGAATCGGCCGCTCCCAGTTTGGAAAAAGAAGAAGACGAAGCTGCTGCAGCCGACGAAAACAAAGCAGATCCATCGGACTTGGTGGCCGGCTACGATCCGAACGTGGCAATAGGTGTGTAATTATTTTTTTCTTTTAATTCGGTTTAGCTAAACAATGTTTATCCGTGTTTTTTTTTTTTACAGGCAAAGAATTATTGGTGCCGTCTACCGGTTACGTTTGCCGACTGTGCACGTGCTACCTGCGAGACTTGAACGGAGTGGCTTTGCACTGTCAAACGGCCGCGCACTACATAAACTACACGACAATGACCAAAATGAAAGACGCTACGTTGAGTGGAAAAAAACGGGGAATCGATCAAGTGAAAGACGAAGGTCAGAACCAAGAAGGCATAGAGGAGGTGAAAGCGGACGAAGAAAATGGAGAAACCGACGTAAGTTGTCGATTCTGCTGTCTTCACACGTTGACGTATCAGACAATTTGTGTCTGTATGATTTTTTAATGATTTTTTTTTGTTTTTTGTAGGAACGAGCTACTAAACGCATCAAGTTGGAGACGGACGCTGCTGCCGCCGAGGAAGTAGAAAAAATGGACACTTCTGTACCGGAAACCGATGCTGCCGCCGAGGTCGCCGAGACGGTCAAAACTGAACCGGTCGCTGCGGTCGAAACTGACGAAACGGTCGCCGAAGCCAAAACCGAAAACGTCGTAGTAACGCCCAAGATAGAAATAATTACGGACTCTCCAAAGCCGGCCGAAGAAAAAGAAGAAGAAGTACAAGAGCCCGAGAAGATGGACGTCAAGACGGAAAAAGAACCCACTCCGGAGCCGGAACCCGTCCAAGAGCCGGAACCGGTGGTGCATACGCCGCCGACTCCGACCAGAGGTCGTGGCAGTCGAGGGGGCGGCAGAGGCAGAGGCGTGGCACGCCGCGGTAGACCTTCGCGTTGATAACGATTTTTTTTTTCTCATTATATCAATTACAAACATTGACAAATTCTTGATAAGAGTTGGCACCCAAGTTGTGGCGATTATCAAATAATAGAATACAAGACAATTTACAGTTAATCTGATTTTTTTTTTTTTTTTCATATATACATATTTAGGGATTTAAATTTTTGACATTTTTTTTTTTTTATACTTTATTAATTATGTAGACTAGACGTTAAGAATTGACCAACGATGAATTATACATATTGAGGTATTATTTCTTTACGTTGGTTTGTAACTTAGATTTTTTTTTTTTTTTTTTTTAATCTATAATTACTACAACTATAACAATAAATTAAGATGATTATCGTTTCAGTTCACTCCTATCTTGTATTTGTGAATAAAATAATAAATAAAAAATACTTTACAATACAATAAACCAATTGTTTTTTTTTTTTTCAATAATTATTCCAAGACAGACGTGTTACAACAAAGTGGTGAAGTTAAATTGTGAAAATTAAATAAAAAAGTAAGCTCTGTACCACGAGAAAAAGAAGTTTTGAAAAAGGAAAGAAATATTAATGTTGATTGATATTTGCAAATAGTAGCCTATGATAAGTTTTCAAGAGAAGTTAATGAAAGACTGAAATAAGCTCTACACAAAGATGATCTAAATGAAGCACAAATCGCTCAAAGTATGTTACAAGCGGCTAGTATTATTAAAGTTGTTGAAAAAAACTGGTAAAATGTAAAAAAAATATTATAAATAAAAGAGAAAATCTAAAATACGATACGTTAAAAATCAAAAGGAATCGACTTTTTGTAAACTATGTACCTACTAATATCGAATGTGTACACTTAGTTGTTGCTCATTAATCATTTGATTAATTCCCTTAAAGTTATTATACGTATTTGTATACATTTAATATTGTTTGATTATAAATTCTATTAAAATTAATTTATCGTTAACGTAAATAATACATAACAATTATTTTCAAGTATTAAGTTACGGAAAATTTAACCAATAAATTAATTGGTAATTAAAAATGTTGTTTTTTCAAAAAAGTGAGCTCTTTAAAAAGAATTCCAAGTCGTTTATTTTCATTTTTTTACTACAGCACATCATTTTTATAATAATTATTATTGCAATATAACACTTATATTTTTTGTCTGACAATCATAATAACATATTGGTAAAATTGAGTTTAGGATAACAGTATTTTTTTGTTTGTACTACACCCTTCATCGTTTTTACAATTTTTACGCTTTTATTTTTTACCTGTATTGATTTAAAAAAAAAACAATTAATAATAGTGTCGTAAAGTATTTATCGAATATATTTTACACGTTCGTTGTAAACGCAAAAAAAAACATTTATATATTTTTTTAACGGAGTACATTAAATTCAAACGGACCAAATTAAACGATACAATACATATTAAATTTAAAAAAAACAATAAGGAACAAATGATCTAATTTTTTTAAACGATACATGGAATGTATAAATAAATTTAAAAAAAAAAAAAAACCCCACTCAAAAAGCGTGTCTTCTCAGTTTGAAACGGCAAACGTTGGCGTTCACGGACGTGTACTTGTTTTTGAAACTGTACTTGAGCGAAAAATTCAAATACTCGTCTCTCAAATGCAACGGGTCGTTGTTCAAATCGGGGCATGCGATGGCGTTGTCGCAACACTTGCACGTGTCCTGTTTGCCGGGCGGCTTCGTCGCAGCGCTTTCGGCGGTTTGGTTTTGCTCGCGCCACACGCACAGCCGACCGCGGAACGTGTCGCCTTTGAACACCAACAGCGGTTGGTCCAACAACAGTCCGCATTGCATGTAAGAAGTGTTCGGGCTGGCGGAGCTGGTCGAGAAGCCGATGGTCGACTCCAGGTCGTAGGTTTGACGATGAGCCGTATCGGTCGTCGGACACCCGTCTTCGGACAGCAAATAAGGGAACCTGGCGACGAAGAACAGTTCTATCAGATGACAATAGTCTGTCCGGGTGAACAACAAGTTCATAGGCCTGTCGTGAACACAACGTGCGTCGATCAGGCTACACGTGCGCAAGTCCCATTCGTACAACAAGCAGGCTTTGGATACGACCTGTAAAAAAGTTCAATAGTTGAAAACTGTTCCAAAGGTTTTCTATTTTACTGGGAGCACATAAATTCAAACATCTTCTTATGATTACTTTGTACGGATTCAGGAACGTGACAAGAGGTTCTTTCCAATTCGGATAGACTTGTTTGCCGTTTTTGGTTTTTCTGTTTTTTCCCTTGGGTCTCTCCTTTTCTTTATCCGAGCGGGTTAAATTCAATTTCTTCATCGATGACATGTCGAAACCGTAAACGTCATCCCAAAACGTACAATTATGTTCATAATGCCTTCTGGAATCATGAGCTTGAGCGTACAGCTGTACGTTTTCAGGAATCAGCAGACCTATATGATAAAAATTATAGGTATACTACAAGCTCTAGAACATTTTTTTAAAAAATTTTTTTACAAGTGTCTACCTCCGGGTTTTAAAAACAAATCTCTGGCCATAATTAAATCTTCCAGTTGGTCGCCGTTGCCGAAAACGGCGTCTCCCATCCAATCCGAAACGATGACGTCCAATTGTTGTACACCGAATTGTCTCAGACTTTTGATTTGGGATGGCTGCAATAGAAGAAGAAAAAAAGTGAGTCACAAAATTTACAGCTAATAGTTTAAAAACAAGTAAAATTCAAATTTGAGAAAATAGTTAATGAGAAATCAGAAAATTTTACCGTGTAAAGTTAAACGATTTCTGAAAATTATCGTTAGCAATTAAACACAAACATTTATCGTGCATTTGTTGACAATGCAAAAGCGTTGTATCGACCAAGTTTGGGCGTTTGACTACTTTGAGAGATCAGTTGGGTTTTTGGGATAATACATATCGATTTGCATTGAATTTATTCTCAATTTGTCCACTTACTCTTTTATTTATCACAGTTATGACGTCGGCAAATCCATTATCTTCAATAATCTTTTTAGTGTACTCTGCACAATAACTCGTCTCCAAAGCGATAATTTTTCGAGCCCTGCCGTGTCGAGCACACATCATGGCTAATAATCCCAGTCCGGCTCTCAATACCATCACAACCGAGCCCTAAAAAGTCAAAATTAATTAAGAACTAACATAATTTATATCTGGCGTAAGTATGTATATTGTTACGAGTCAACAATGCAGTCATTACTTGTAAATAGTGTGCGTTTTGTTCGATGGCATTCTGGTACGTTATGGTTCGTACATAGTCTTTGATTTGACACGCTTGTTGTGAATAACGAGCATACCGATCGAACTCAAAGTCTTTGGCTGTTAAATGTGATAATAGATCTCGTTTGTTTGGGTTTTGCTGACAAGCATTATTGTTTGTATAAACAAATCTATGACCTTTATAAGGAAACTTGTTCATGGTGCCCATGTAGGCCAACGGATGCGGTCTATCGTCTTCTAATGACTCTTGACTTGTATTAGTAGATTCATGATCATTCTCAAACGGCGCATCCGCCACACTTAAGGCAGACATTTTCTCAACGGTGTTTTGTAATACATTTGGTTCGATATGTGTTGAAATGACCTTTTCGAACGGGTCTATTTGCACTTCATTAGTATTATTGACATAGTCGTTTTTTATATTGCAATTGAAGAGATTGTTTTTCTTTTCTTCGGTCGATGACGATGATTTCTTCAAAATTATTTTAGGCTTAATAGGAACTATCGCGTTTTCCTCTGACACTATCTTAGATTCAGCAATGGCACAGGACAATATACTACTTTTGGTTGGATCAACACAATAACTATTCGAAAGGTCTTGATTCCACAAGTTATTGAGACGATTTGTACAAGGGTTATTGTTTTTTTTGTAAAATTGTTTTTTCTGGTAATTTGTTCTGTTAGAGTTTTTGTTGTTTTTATCATCACAACTATTAGGAACTTTATAATTTGCCCAAGAACTCGGCGGATCCGGACGCGGCGCTCGAGCTGGCAACACGGAGCTTGACTTTTTTAAATCGATAACATTTTTACGATTTACCCATTTTGTCTTCTTTTGTCCTCGGTTATAGTAGTTTTGTTGAGTGGAGTAATATGCTGGTTGCTGTTGAGGAAATTGATTGGGTTCATTGCGAGGTCGACGATAGTGGTTGTTGTAGTTTTTGGACACGTTGTCGTCATTGGCACCGTCGCTTTTACCGCCGCTAGCAAACGCATCAGAACTATACATAATTATTCTGAATTCACTCGGCAATCATTAATCCGGTTTGCACAACGATACTGTTATTAATAGTAAAACGAAAAACCGATTTTGTCACTCCGAATTTGTTTTTTTGTTTAACTATATATGAAAAAATTGGATGAAACTCACAGACAACTGACAAGAAATAAGAATACAGACCCGCCACTCCGGGTGGCAGCACAGATGAGATAAAATGTTAAATTTGAACTAATCCGTGGTAGGCAGTAGTTCGAAGAAGAATGAATAATGAAAATGAACAGATCGATCTGTTTACAAATTCAACTACTAATGTTTACACCGGTCGAGAAACCACGTTTGGGGCTTTGGTCTGCAATGATAGAGGCAAACGCGCCGGGGCAAAAAAACCACAGGTACGTCGCGGGCTCGCGTTGACGGCAAAATGGATGCCCGGCGTTCTAGGGCGGCCGTGTATTTGATGGCGGACCGCGTTATCAAAAATCTGATAACGTGACTTGCCGACGTACCTGTTTCGTGACCGCTTTTCGGGTTTACAGTTACCTCCAACAGCTGCTGCTGCAGCGGTGTGCAATCGATTATGGGTTGTCATATTATTAAAATACAAAACAAATTTTTAAAAAGGAGCGAGAGAGAGGTCATTTTAGGGTTTCGGTTGCGTCGACATCAAAACTAAATAATAAAGTTTGAATAGAAATATTTACTTTTTATATAATATATTACCGTATAGATATGATTTGTTTGATTAATTTTGATAAAATACAATGGTTGTACCTAATATTTACATCTTGGTGTGCACAAGCGGTCATTATTATTGAACTATATTTCTATTTACACAATATTATTCGTGGTCTACAATAGATTTTAAAAGAATTCTGCAAAAAAAAAAAAATCCAACACAGATTGATTTCTCCAACGTAAACCAACCTAAAATTGAAAAAATACATATTTTTTTTTTTTATAGGAAATACCAACAAATCTATAATATAATGACAATAATATATATATATATATACTTATTTAATAACTGTCTAAAAAATGGCATCCAAATAATTGTTATTAGAAGACTTTTTATCCAATTATTACCATACAGTGATTAGTGAAGTCAAAAATTCTAGTTTTCCATTCGTGTCACCTTGGAAATAATATATTTTATTTTGATATCCGTGCAACATAATAATATAATATGTATAATATAATATATTGAATTGATTTAAATTTATGTTTAAAGGAACGCGTTATGCCCAAGTACCACCTATTTATCAATTTTTTTTGCAAAACTCAATTAAAAACCAATTGTCAATCTTTAGTTTATGTTGGAGGTTAACGTTACATCGAATTACCATACAAATGGTCTAATTACATAATTCCTTAAAGTTATTTTTCTAATTGTTACAAAAATCATATTATACTGGACACAAAATATGGTATATTTTTCCCCTCAAAAGTTCAAGTCCAAAATCCTAGTTCATATTTACATTTAACGAAGAAAATTACTTTTACACGATAAAATTGAAAAATAGGTAGTGTATTTCGAATAGAAATTTAATATTCCATACAAATATATATGTACATGTATTATTTTTAATGTTATTAAAACATCATGATCAAATATTCTAGTAAACGGTATTTGTAGAACATGGAAAAATAGTAATATGATAATACCAATATATTAAAAATGTTTTTTTTATTTCAGTTAGTTCTAACCCTAATTAGTTATCCATAATTGAGGCTATTATTATTTGTATCATGTTTATACACTGTGATTTTTTTTTTTATATTTAATTACATAGTAGGTATAGCTTAAAAGAGAAACTGAAAAGTTAATAATTTTACCAAATACCTAGTAAATTTTTTTAAAATTTAGATGCACATCTGCGAGGGACTTAAATACTTTACAGCTTCGAGTAACATAATATTAAATAATATTTAATTATTTTCATATTTCCATACGTGTGTATTAGTTGGCATATATAAGTATAATATATAAATAACTTTATTATTCCAGGTCTTTTTAATTTTTACTCCAAGGGAAACCTAACAGGCGGGGTGTGTGGGACGCGCAGTCCATTTCTTTATAGGTCTATAATGTGAACTATTTTCTACTGTACACCTACTGGTAATAATTGCATTAGTGGCACTGTAGCCTGTAGATAAAACCACATGGCAAAATAAATTATATCTAGCTTTACCTAACATTTCAAACGACGAGGGTAATATTTTTTGTTATGGGGTTTGGTATTTTACACCCCTAGCAGATGGCCGTGGAAGCGTTGTTCTTTTGTTTGGAAGTCATTGTATTTTATTTCCATTGTGATAAATCCCAAAGGCCCGAGAAAACCTCTTCGACCCTCGCCCCATTGTATACTCTACCACCTGCCCTTTTTGTGCTGTGACCCCATGTTACTCCCCTTTGTATATTATACTGAACCTTACCCAACCAGACAAATAATAAGTGAAAATTCCGAATCAGAAATACGCTAACAAAATAGCATTAAAAGATCGTTGGCATCTCCTACTTATTATTTCAAACGATCAAATTGTATTCCGTCAAAAAATACTTATACATTTGAGTACCTCTAGGCTAACGATGATTTTTTTTATGTAATCTAATTTAATAACTAATCATTTCCATTGGCATCCAATTTATACATTTTATCACACAGTAGTTTAACATACATAGTTTTCTTATTAGTCTTTCATATAAAGAATTAAAAATAATTCTGGTCGAAAACGGTCTAAATATTTGAATTGATACATATGATACAAATTCGAAGTCAATTTTGTTTTTTCTCTATACCTATATATATATATATATTTGAAAATGTAGAATTACTATATACAGTAGTGTTTATTTTATTTCTTGCTCAGTCTCATAAGTTGTTTTTACATTTTTCTTTTATCGCATGAATTGTATGTTTATGAAATCAACAACATAATTTTTCAGTTTAAAGTATACACGTGCGTAAAATTTTATGTTGGAATAATATTTCTCTACAATCTGATAGTTCAAACTTATTTGTATACACCTAACTAAATATACTGGTCTAACTAGGGCATAATATATTTCTGTTTTGTGTATTGTTACAAAGCACTTAATCGTACAACCGAACGGCGTGACCACCTCGAGTTACAAGATTCGTATTTCGGTACAATATGAAGAAAATCAATTTTTTTTTTATTGCAGTCATCATATTGAATACTTCATTGGGTAATATTTTGTGTATTATTAGTACAAGTAAAAAAATTATGTAGCTGGGACAATTAATATAGATGTTTAACAATAAAGAGAGAAACAACTTTTATTTAATTAAAACATAAAGTGAGCTGCCCACTATGCGGGTTGCCAAATGACACAGCATACTATTCAATATACATATACATAAGACAATTTAAATTTCACACTATCAAACTCATTGTACAAATACATAAAAGCCAAATTTAACAATCAATAAAATATTAATAGAAAATTCACATAGTTTATCCGACTGCCCAAAAACAACTAAACTAGTTTGGTATTTCTAACTAAAATGATTTAATTGGCGCAATCATATTATAGTAGATCCAACTAGAATATTTCCAACCATTTAAAATGACCAATTTCCCCCCCCCCGGAAAACAGTTTGGCGAAGTGTTCATTATAATATTATACCAAAACACCGTTCTCAAATACTTAATTTGCAATACTTGTATACTTATATCGTATGTTTATATGATCAACAACGTCATTTTTCAGTTCAAAGTATACACCTGTGTAAAATTCCATGCTGGAATAATATTTTTCTACAATCTGATATCTAAAACATAGTCAAATATTATTTATATACTTATACACCTAACTAAATACTGATCTAACGTGTTCTACTTTTATGAACTAGGACATAGCAAATTTCTGTTTTGTGTATTGTTTTTAAAATTATTTTTACCGTGAGATAATGCAATTTTATAATTGTGTAATTTTTTTTAAAAAGTTTAACTTTTAGTAGCAAACAAGTATTAAACATTTAACAGTTATTATTTTAAATAAAATATATAATATTATTTTTCGTTACATTGTTATTTATTGTTCTTATATTTTGTTTCAAACAAATATTAAAATTTAATTTAGCCTATAATAACAAGTATTTGGTGGTTATTTTGTTTAGCTAAAATGTTGTTAAAAGAAAAAATATCAAAAAATGAAATATCAATGAAGTAGATGTATTAAATAATTATATATTTAAATGTTTCTGCAGGCCTAGGCGGTGTTATGAGTTTTATGGTTTGCTTCATGGATTAGGTCAATATTTGGGTATTATTTTATTATACATTAAATCTATTATTTTATTATATACAGAGTGGTGGCATATATAAAGCTTATAACGATACACTCGGTTAAAAGGCGTTCATTGTCATTCACGCCTATCATTTTAATTTATATTATCTAAATAATACATTTAAATATTATATATGTTTTCTATCGTTATGTTCTTTATAAAATGTTAGAGTTTATTGGCATCTACTTGTATACATTTTCCGAGTTAATCGTTTGTGTTTAGTTATATAGACTCGACTTTTTTAGTGTGTAATCTGCTAGTGTTAAAAAGCATATGTAGATACACACCGGTGTAAGGTCATTTGTGTCAATCGTGCCTAACCAAGTTAGGAAATCTAAACAGCCTTGAAATAATAAAAAACGTGTTGAGTAATCCGTTCAATTTTGTAGTAAATATATATATTTTTTTGACGTTATTACTATCCGCGTTATGGCAATGATCATTAAAAAACTTTTTTCTATTTCATTCACTTTTTTCATTATTTTATTTTGTATACCTACAGTTATAGTCATTTACAAGAGGTATCAATCAACTCTTCGATGAAGTATTATTCTTTATACATTTTAACACAATATTATCATACCGACCGTTTGGGTGCGATTAAACATTATCTCTCACACTACACACGCGTTACCAACCGACTGTTATTAGTGTCTGTTCGTTTCTCACATCTAGTACACCGTGTTTGTAGTACAACTTGAAGGTCTTAATTACGGCAAAACAACTAAAAACAAAATAACTTGCACCCCCCCCCCCCGACCCTAGGGGAAAGAGAAATAGGTATAATTTAAATTTGTTAACTTGTACATGATTCGAGTTATTATTTTTAATTTTAATACATTTTTTCTTTGAGTGAAAGCCGTTTATTTTAGACTAAAAGAAACAGACAAAATTTTGAAAACAATTCTGTAAAGACGTTCAAGTTCTTTGGCTACACTACTATATAATATGTAGGAAACCGTTTTTCATTAAAAAATGTCAGTTTCTTCTAATTCAATACATTTAGTTTGCAATTTTGTCATTATTAAAAAGTAATTTTTGACATGATAAAGCAAAATATTTAAAATTCGTTTCCGATATAACTTAATTAGGTAGATGATGCTGCTTGTTTTACACAAAAATGCAACTTATAAAATAATGCCCAAAACATACTAAAACAGCAGTATAAAATTCATTTGCTTAATTAACACAAAAAGGTTATTATATAAGTATTGCAAATTAAATATTTAATTGGCTTGTTATAGAAAACTCCAAAAGCTTAAGAAATTGATACCTACATAGTATGATAATAGGCAATGTATTCGTTTTAAAATAATTCACCCGGCAACTAATATTGATAAATTGCACCACGATGGTAATATGAGAACATAATATAAACTAAGTTTAAGATTAAGTTTGGACAGCCGAGACAATGTTTGGCAGAGAACGGTGTTTAGGTATAATATTAGAATGAACACCTTGCTACAAGTCAAATTAAAACCGGCATGTAAGATTCAATTTATGCCAAACTATTTCCCGGGCAAAAAAAAACTGGCTATAGTAAATGGTTGGAAATATTCCTGTTGGAAATACTATAATATCCAATATGATTGCTGCATATTAAAACCCAATTTTTTTACATAAAAAAATCAAAAATCGGTTGTCAAAGATCTCTTTGAAAATATTTTATAATTAGGATTTTTTATTTTATAGGAAAGTACCGTTTGAAGTAGAAACGGTATAATTACGGTCTGTTAGCGTTAAAAAAGTTGTCAGAAAAAAAATATCCATGTAGATCCCTTTTTTCTGTTTTGATATACAAGATCAAAATATGGTAAAATGTTGCCTATACAATGCGCCTTAATAAACGAAAAGGCACATGATGAGACTGGAGGAAACGAAATCTCCATTCGTATTCCTAAATTGATCTCACATTATTAATTAAAAGTTTAGTTAAACGATACACAATTGCCGACCCTTTATTTAAAATAAAATATCAAATGTCTATAAAACATTATATAGATAGTTATAATTGTAAAATTATAAAAATACAAATCTTAGAAAATAGTTCTCATTTTAGGTTTTTTTCTATTTTCAAATACAATACTTAAATTATACACTAGGTATTATTACATAAAAAAATAATACAGGCAATACTTATTGTAGGTACTTACTAAGTGTACACAAAAGACAAAACATAGTACCTACCTACATTGTATATTAGTTTATTTAATCAATAATTAGTACCTAAGTTACTGCTTTGCGCGACATATTCAACGATATCTACATTTTGTAAAGAATTTAATATATCCTTCTCACACGACATTATGATAAATGATTCCACAAGTTCTTGACTTAAATTACTTCTTAATCTGTTATGGATAATGCAAAGTATACAATTTTCATTTACATTTCTTTATGCTTTGAAAATCTATTTTCTAAACTCTCAATAACAATAACCAAAGTATGTTATAAATAATAATTTCATATTTTGTAACAATTCTATTTTTCTTTAAATCTCCTTCAACTCTGAATGTTGTATCTTCATTTTCAAAAATCGCGTTCATAGCAGATGAAAAATATTTAGCTTTTTCGTACACATGGATACATTTTCTACTTACATCTTTTAACGTTTTTATTGCGTTTTCTACCATTTTGTATGTTCCATATAAATCTATTCCTGATGTTTGTAAGTAGTTTATTATTGGTGTGGTACTTTTAAAAATAAGGAGAAACAATTGTGCTGTAATTATTGTGAACAATTTTAATGACATTTGTAAGTACACGTTAGCATTACACCGTGTATCAAAATTCATATTTTCTTATGTCGAAATATTAAACAACGTTTGACATATTTTGAACAAAGATTGAATTTTGAGAGTCATTTAAAAATCTGGCATTTGGCATTTTATCTATAAAAAAAAATGTCAACTACACCAAATAATATAAAACAATTTGACCCTTGCTGTAGAAAAAGGCTTTAAAAGCATTATTTTAAAAACGTTTAAATTTATTTATGACAAAATACATAGGTGTAATGTATTGAAATAGTTGAAAACTTTTAGATGTGAAAAAGCTAGAGGTGTTAAATAATAATAATTAAGTGAAATTTCTTCACTTTAGACATACCAGCTGTATAATGGTTTACACTTGTTTGTACAAGGACTTGATTATCTATTTAAGAATTCCACTCCTTTCAATTTAATACGATATGATATGAGGAAAACCCCGTTTAATTATAGTTTTCACCTATTATTATATTATTTTTTAACGGCTTATGAATAACATTAACATATGTATATAATATATTTAAACATGTTACGTCTTATACTACCTGAATATTACAATATAATGAAATATACATCAACTTATGGCCGGAGTAATGTTTTTATTTATTGTAAATTTTTATTTGTTAATAATTCTGTTGTTACGTTACATTTAAAAATGTTTTTCCAGATCTACGGACGTACTATGAATCGTTCGAATGACAGGAATAATACTTATTAAGTTGACAATGATCTTAGCATTTAATTTTCCACAGACGATAGATCTCTAATAATAATATGTAAATAAATGTAATAATAATTTTTTAAAATAGCGCTAACTAATAAATGCTAAGAAAAGTTGGAATACGAAACGAGATAATCGTACGAAGCCTCTAAGAATTCTACATAACATTTATGTAATTTATTTTCAGCTTTTACGCAATCCTAAAGAGTTATGGTTTACCGGTGTTTTTCTCTTTAAATCATCAGAGGGTTAACTTTTGGAAGTATAACCGTATCAAGCACAATTAGAGGACAATATATTATTATATTAAAAAAAATACAAAAAGATATTAAACAACGCTTAAAATTATTTCGTAGGGTATGTGTACTATAAAAATTGTGTTGTAAAATCTTATCGTAACTAATAGACTAATAAACTATTAGACTATTAGACTAATAAAAAATATAATAAATACAAAACATTTTTTTTAACATAGTGATAACATTAAAATTATATATTTGTGTTGAGTATTTTTCGAAAATACATTTTTTCAGAAAAACATAATCTTAAGCGCTAAAGTTGAATTTTCATTACAAAATTACATTAGTCTAAATGTGTACATGGTGGAAATGCAATTTGTTTGAAATGCAAGTATGCAATTGTTTTTAAATAAAATAATTTTCAATTTGTCTGTTAAATATTAATTTACAAACACGCAGTCGTCGACGATTTATAGTTGTCACAAAAGATAAAAGTAAAAAAAAAAAAAAAAAATAGTTTAATATTATTTACTATTATTAAATAGTTATAATTGTATCGAATAAAATTAATCAACCGAATATTTAAGAGTTCATTTTACGTTTTGCTGCTTTCAGTATTATTACTTGAACTTGGCGTTTTGGCAGCGTTCGCCTTAGAGTTTGACTCGACGCCCGGCACTTGGACCGTGTGCGGAAAGTATGCGTCTGCCGCCAATGGAGCGTCCTTGCTCGCAGTGAAGCGCACCTCTACGACGAAATCGAATTGAACGGGCAAGCACACGGGACCCATATCGGTGTCCGTAGTGCAAATGCTGGTTTCGCATCTCAGTATAATAATTTGAGGTTCTTCGTCGCAATCGTATTCTCCGTTATCGTCTGCCGTGTACTCTCCGGCGTCACCTTCTGTCGAGCCTTCTCGCTGGTTCACCGGCATACGGATCAAATACTTAAAATCGGTAGACTGCGTTCCGACGTTGGCCGGACTTTTGATTTCTTTCGATTCCCACGTATTATCTGCGATCGAACAATGATATATTATATTAAAAAATAAAATAGTCAAAAAATTAATCATACCTGGCATTTGTAGGGTCCATTTCAACGGCGGCGAAACTTTTTCAACGCTGTCGCTTTCGTTGGTCACCTGCGACGGCCACGACACTCGACCGCGAACCATCAACTGGGCCGGAGCGCTTCCGTTGTTCGAAAGTCTCACTCGTGCGTTTCCTACTACGTTTTTCGGTTCTTCGATCAACGGGAATTCGAATTTAAGCTAAAACAATATAATGGAATCGATTTAGTTATCGTTGTTAGTCGACCAGTTGTCGTTATTGTTTAACAACACTATTACTTTTTTGGTAACGTAAGAGTTGAAATTATAAGCATAGATCGTATGCGAGTTTGTGTCGGCTATCAACAATAAGCTGCCATTGTCAGTATTAGTTTCATCTTGGTGCTGTCCGTTTTTGTTTTCCACGAAATACAAACCATTTGGTTCGTTTAACTGAAAAAAAAAAAACCATATTGAGAATGTAACTTATCGATTATTTTGCATACGAAGCGAAATCTGTCTTACTTTAACCGGGAGCGGTAAAGCATGGACATTTCCTTTTGCACTCAAATTGGGGTCGGTAGAATTTGCATTGTGCACGCTGCCTCCTCCAACTATGCCGGTTACGCACTTCACCTTGTTGTTGTACGTATCGGCCACGTACAGAGTGTTTCTTTTTCGGTTCCACGCAACAGCCATCGGATGTTGGAGGCGGCTATTGGTACCAGCCGGTCCGTCTATGTCTCCATAGCTAAACAAGTCCTGAGAATACGAGTAAAAGTATTAATAATCAATTTTATATCCAATATTAATTAGTGTCGTATGAAGTTCAAAATGATAAGTTCTTCGGTATCCCATATACAAAAGTGTTAATTATTATTATTAAATTTTTTTCACCGTCGGGTCAGGCGATCCACCACAAACGTTCAATACTCTGGTGCAACAGCGAGTGCTTGCAGGCGCACTGGAATTATTACTGTTTCCGGTGTCTAAATACACACGGCGGATTGTTGAAGACTCGGCGTCCGCAACAAACACTGAAAGATTCTGGTGGTAATTGTACTGGGGTTGACTATCGTCTTGTTGATAATTCTGATAGCCTCCGGTCACTGCCAAACACAAACCGGACGGTTGAGCGAAAGAAGCTCTCAGAGCGTTGTAAGAATTGTTACGATTTTCTTCTTTTCCCGAACCGGCTACACAAACACACAGGCCTTTGCCGCACCATCTGAATAAAGGTAATTGTTTAATGGTTCAACCATTCAGATTACAATACTCAAAAAGTATTTGAACGTATTATTTTAGTTTTGCAATTTTTTTCTTCTTACTTTGACTTGTTCGTTCCTTGTGTAGTTTTATCGAGAAATAACGCCCATAGCTGATGCGAACCTGCCATGGCAATAATGACGGCACGTAAACGTTCCACATACAACACGTCCCACGGAGTGTTCAAACGTTGTATGGTCCACATAGCACCGCCAAAAGGACACAGTCCCGAATTTGGGTTGCTTGCTGCAGAATTTTTTACATCCATGTTGGCCGGCAGAAGCATTTGTCCGTTGCCCGCAACTGTTTTGACCGTTTTCAGTTTTAAATCCACCTGGAAAAATATAAAAAAATTATATTCAAACTTTTATTCGGCAGGAGAGTTTTGCTAAATCGTAGCTACCATTCGTATGGCATGATTTTCTGTGTCGGCTACATATAATACATCATGTGTTTCTCCGAAACAAAGTCCCTGAGGATTTTTAAATAACGCTTCTCTAAATCCTCCGTCTTTGAAACCATGATTGTCAGACGACGGCTTAAGAGGATCACTACCTCCACCAATCACACACTGGGAAAAAAAAAAATAAAAACTATGAATAACAATTTAAAACAAAATTACTATTTTATTGCCGTTTACCTTGACGTATCCTCGGATATTGCATACAATTATACGATGGTGTCCACTGTCCGAAACTGCGACTAGTATGTCGGAATTTTTATTACTTTTTTGAACAACGGTGGCCGTAACTTTTCCCGGATAGAGTAACGGGCTCGCATTTGGAGGGACAGCTGCGTTTTTTCCTCCACTCCCCATAAAGTGGGTGTCCACCTCGATTCCTTCAATCTGATGTCCACTTATCAAATCTGCCGCTTTTAAAATCTCAAGAGAAGAAGATATAAAAGTTTGCAAAAGCTTGCTGTGAAACTGCTCTCCTTGAACGACCAACATTGGCTCACCCAGCGGGCCTACTATTATACAAGTTGGCCAACAACAGCAAGCAAGATCGTTCCACATGGTCGACTCCGTGTCGTTCACTATCGGATGCGTCATTCCGTATCGTTTGACAGCGTGTTGTACATTTACGCTGTTCAATTCGTGAGGAAACTTCGCACTGTGAACACTGATCTGTAAACATCGTCAAACTAGTATTAGATGCACAATAATGGGGTAAAAATTGATAAAAAACCATAACATTTATTTTAAATAATTATTATGTTAACTTGAAACTTCCCAACACGGAGTTTGATATTGTTATGTGAAATTTCAAGGAGGAACAAAAAAGTGAGTAGGTAGCCGAGAGTTCTAGATACAGTCGTTGCCATATAGTTCTCCGTATTTTAAGTCGTTTAACAAATAGATCAACAAATGAGCAATTATAGTTTTGGTAAAAATTTAAAACTTGCATTATGCAATTTATTTAAAACTTTATATTATATTTTAATACTTCATTAATATAATAAAAAAATAATTGAATTTCTTTTTTTTTTATACGAATGTTATAATTTGTTTTTTTTTCGGATTAATTTTATAAAAATACTTTATTTGTTTTTTTGTACTGTATTAAGTTAAACTTATAGTGGTGCTACACCAAAACCTTCATCTTTGTCTTCAATACTTGTAGTGCCGTCTTCGATTAAACCATCTTCTCTGAATGTTACCACTAACTTATCAGTTCTAATCTAATCTTAAAACTTATCTAATCTGTGGTTTCAGTGTTCATACAACCTTCCTTTTCCCAAATCTCAACCTCCAATTTTTTCATATTTTTACAGACTGCTTTCCACTCTGATTTACCGATAGTATAAATTTTTTGTTTACACAGTTCGTCAATATTTCTTTATACAACAACTATGGTTTTGTTTTCACTCGGTGCCAAATCATTTAATTTACTTTCTTTTCTTAGCATACTATCCAACAAATACATAACCGTAACTCCTTTGTGTCTGCCAATTACATTATAAAGTTTTGGCTTAAGCAAACTTGAATAAAAACTAATACTATTTTCAGTTAACCATTTTACTATGGATTTTTTTAAAACTATTTGAGTTTCGAGCTCGGTTAGATTGTTGACAGTGATAAGATGCGCTATCCATGACCACAACACAATTTTGGGTTTAATTTAGTATTACTTTTTCTACGACCCATTCATGATAATTTTCCTTAGTCGTATCGTGGTAATCATCATTGGAAGTTTGAGCTTCTCATGTCAGTAAAGCATTGAAACAAAACCATCTTCTCCTTCAGAATGAACAATTATTTGACGCTTTCCTTTACTTGAAACCGTATTGTCATCGGCAGAACTTCACTATTGACAACATGGGATGACAATATATAACTTTCATCGGTATACACTATTTGTCTACCTTGTCTAAGAAACTATTTTTTTTTAACGTTTTTATGTTGTCCAAAAACTAGTTTAATTTTGTCAACTTAATACATATTATCTACGATAGTTTGCCTTAAAGCACATTGGTTAAAATACAAGTAGTATTATAACGCACGGCACCGAGGGTATTTATCTCTATCGATACAAAAATGTACACTATTGTGGAGTAAAAAAATATACTTTATATATTTTGGAGAGAGTTAAACTTTTAATAGTACGACAATATACAATATATATATATATAATTTTTTTTATTTACAACATAAATCATAGTTTTCTTCCCTCCAAAAGCTATGCCTTGTCGAAGCATAGTTGATAGTTAATTTTTTTATAAATTGTATAATAAAATTATTAGTAATAAGAACCATAGTAACAATAAACAACCGTCGCGGGCCAAACCACTTGCGCCCTAGTCGACGGTGGCGCAAAACACTAGTTTGGAATAGACCTACTGAAAGACCCTGCCGTGGTTGTGTCAAGTTATTTGGAAACGGCTGTACCGAGCTTTAATTGAAATGAGTAGAAATATTTATACTTAACTATCGAAACTAAATATACCTAGCTGTATACCTATTCATTTTTAACGCCTCAAGTAAAATAATGAAATGTCATTTATAACCAATTCAATTTTATAATACGACTGTGACAATGTGCTTAGGTCCTATCGAAAAACCCAGAAAATCCTAGTAAGTCACATGAATGATGGTCATAGAGATCGCTTACGTGAGAAAGTGTCTTTGACTTTTCCAAAAATAATTGGAGTTTTACAGTAGACCAATATTCGAGATAGCAAACAAGATCGTACGAGATAATATTTATTATCTACATATTCAGCATACTTACAATTACGAGTCCTTGTTCGACAGTAAATTTTTTTTCTAGCTTTTCAAGAATAGGAATCATGTGTTGGCAATTGACACAACAATACGTCCAAAAATGAAGTAAAACCAATTTTCCACGTAAATGCTTATGAAATAGTAAAGGCTCTTTACAATTGAACCAATCGAGATCTGAAAAAAAAACCATATTAATTGTACAACAAACATTCGATTATATCAGTTATTATAATAATTAACCTGTTAAATTTTATTAATTTATCAAGTCAATAAAACGAGTCTATCGGTCTTAGCCAATTATACAAATAAATACAAAACTGATATATTAAAATAAAACACAGTTTGGTTCACAAAAAAAAAATTAGGTACGCAAATATTTTTGGCTATGCAAACACAAAAGATCATATTATTTCTTACTAGGTTTGAACTCATTGACTCGCATTCCTTGTTGCGATCCAGATGTCTGTGCTCCTGAGCTTGCATTACACGCCGTTAACATTTTTTGAATATAATCTTCGGTAGTTTCTCGTAAATGAGAAGGGATGTCTACGGTATCGTCGTCCGTAGTGCAATTGCTGCCGTCTTTGTTGACATTTACATCCAAATTGGAGTTTGCCGATCCTGCTGTGGAATTAAAGAGATCAACAAAAACCGACGAGATCTCTAGTACCCGATCCATAGTGGCTAGAGGCTAAAACAAATAAATATTCGATTGCTGTTAATATATATTATTTTTGCATTACAACAACCGAAGAACGGAATATTATGACAGTTTGTAAGACATTATACTTACACGAATTACAAAATAAAATTGTCTAAAGTTTGAGAAAATACAATTCAAAAGCAAAACGTAATTATTGTATTTACGTATTTATGTGTAGCAAAACGCCGAGTTCTTGAGATTTCAGTCTGCTATCGAAATTCGAATTACAATTTTCAAAATAACATACACATTACACGAAAAGTTCTCTGCAGCAGTCGCCGTAGGGAGGTTTATTCGTTATACGGGTACTGTTGAAGCTAGGATCGGTAGGAGCCAAACCGGGGGCTAAGCATCATTCCGTGTCCATATATTGATAACCCGGCTTTATGTTAGTTTACAACTGATAACAATTACCCGCCTCCGTGTTACCGCATACCCGATCCGCGGTATGCACTACATACGGGTATAACGTTTTGCCTCCGTGTTATCGTTTTTATCATTGTTATTATTATTATTACTACTGAATACTGATAAGAAAACACCGCCAGTCGCCACTGAACAGCACCAGCAGCTGTGTTTTTCTGGTTTCTGTACAATAAATAATAATGTACTAGGTACCTACAAACTCTACAATATTATTATGCTGCATAGTTGTTACAATGTATTTTTCTACAATTACCTACGTGCCAAATCGTAAATCCTAACGCCTAATGCATAGTCAAAACGTAATGTATTCGAAAAGGTTAAAAACCATTTTATTTTTTTAACAAAAAATTATACCTGCAGTTATACCTACTAAAATAATATGATAAGCAAAACACGTAATATATATTTCATTGGTTCTTCTACATCAGTTTAGGTATTTTGTTATACAATTTTATTTAGATGTTATCTAGTGTAGTTTGTGTTCAGCTCTTATAAATTCACGACGTTTTTAATTAATTTTATAGACTTCTAGTCGTTTTGGCAATGCTGGTTAAACTTATTCGTGGACTGTACTATAATGTCGATCACAGAAGAACATAATGTAAGAATAGTTAATTATGTATAAGTCGCGAAAATAAAATAATAATCAACATTGTCTGTTTTTAGATACAGGTCGATGAAAATGGTGTAAACTCAAATAATATGCAGAAAGACTTTCGTCAAATTTTTAGTACCACTCATGCCTGTCGAATTTCAAATTGCACTATTCGATTTCAAACCTATCTCATTATTTTCGTCCTACTCGGTGGCATTATTTTCTTGGTGACTCTTTACAATATTGGATATTCGGCTTCAAGATTTGTCAGTAATGGTTTTGGTCAGCCAACTGAGCATTTTGTGTTGAACGAACAACCCAAGTATCCGTTAACACAACCTATATTTGTTGTCAACGTCGGCATAAAATATCGTATAGGCATAATTAGTGATCTGGACAAAGCTTCTATTAGCCCCGATGAGAAAAATACGTGGTATAGTTTTTATAAAAAAGGATATGTCACGTGGTACGCAAACAACAGCACGATTGACGTTGTTTGGGATAATGAGGAACCTGCTGTTTTAAAATCGTCGTTGTCAATGGGAGGTCGAGGAATGGAACTCTCGGAACTAGTCACATTCAATAACAAAATATATACATTCGATGATCGAACTGGAATAGTTTATACCATTGGCGAGGATGATTCAATTCTACCTTGGGTAATTCTCATGGATGGAAATGGAAATATTTTTAAAGGTAATTTATTGACATTTCTAGTTAAGGGAAAAATAAAAAGCAAAATTTCACACGAATAAAAACTAAAATACAAAGTCGGTTTTCAGAATATCGACTACTTAAATTAATAATTATATACCATTTTAGTGACAAAATAAAAAATAATAACTGCCTATTAATAATACTCTTATGCCTGGTTTACCGTTAAATTATGATAAGTTATTTCATTTTATTATATTTATTGATTTTTTTTTTCAAACAAACCATTATTATTTTATTTTATCCAATATTGTATTTTTGATTTATTATGAAACAACATTAGATGGTGTTTATTTTTAAACGTAGTATTTTATAATTAAAAAGAAAAATAACAATACATATACCTAGCCTAGTTGAGAGAGTATGAGTTGACACTTGGCTCCGGGCAACTCAAATTGCCAGCTGAGAAGTTGAGACGATTATTAAAGAGTTGCCCTCTGCTCTCCGGTAAAGCATTAACGACCTGTCAAGGTAGCGAATAGCGTTAACAAACCTGTCTCACGACGTGAGGGTGGTGGTCGTAGTCTTAAGTTATGCGTATTGTGAAAATAATTTTTACACTATTAAAATAAATATTGTAATTTTTTTTTCTTTTTTAGGATTTAAAAGCGAATGGGCAACTGTACACAATTCGGATTTATATGTTGGCAGTATGGGCAGAGAGTGGTTGTCATCAGACGGTGAATACCTCAACGATAACCCAATGTGGATAAAAATTATTGATAAGTTTGGACAAGTGACTCATGTTAACTGGACTGAAAATTACGTTGCACTAAGAACAGCAGTTGATATATATTACCCGGGATACATGATACACGAGTCGTGTGTGTGGAGTGAAGTGCATAACAGATGGTTTTTTCTGCCGAGAAGGAGTTCTATACACCGATATAACGACAAGACTGATGAGCACATGGCCACCAATTTATTGTTGTCGGCAAACGATAAATTTAATGATATTAAGGTATTCAACTTAAATCATATTTGATTTATACATTTTAAAATGTTTCTACCGTCATTCAGAGTTGTCGAATAAAACATTGTTGTAATTGACTAATTCTAGGTAGTTACCATTGGCGAACGAGTTCCCACTCATGGGTTTTCCAGTTTCAAATTCTTACCCGGAACCAATGATAGAATAATTGTAGCGATTAAATCGGAAGAGGTCGGTTCTATAACTGCCACCTACATGACGGCCTTCAATATTGACGGCACAATTATACTGCCAGAAATAAAAGTAGCTAATTTTAAATACGAAGGTATTGAGTTCATATGACGCATATTTAAAATTTTATTTATTAATATTTTTTTTTTTTTTGTGTTGTGATTTTTTTGTGGGTTAAGTATTAAAAAAATGTAAAATTGTTGACGTATGATTTATTTATTATAATATTATAATTGTTCAAGTTTTGCTTCCTCAAAAAACGAAGCTATGGTTCACTGGACAATTTTTGTTCGAATATTGGGATAAGAGTAATGCCATATTATATAAAAATTGAACAACTTGGCATTCTGTCTGTGGATGTGTGTGTGTGTTCGATAGCGACTATGCGGCTTTGAATTTGTAACAGCTATGATTATATTTTTGCTTTTATCAGTCGAGAACCTACCTTGAGCTTACATTACCGAGAACTTTTAGACTCTGATAAGAGTTAATACGTTTTTAGTCTTGTTAGTATGGAAACCGAAATTCTTGTGAGAATTCTAAGAAAATGGACATTTATAAGAAGTACCTAAATTTATTTTACTATATTTATTACTATTATGAAATGTAAATTGAAAATTAACTGCTTAACATTTAGTTTCGCGCTCAACAATTGGCGCATCTTGGTTTGATTCTCATTTCTCGCCCACCGTAACTGATCTCTCCTCTACGTCGAGGGCGTAGCGGTTACAAAATGTTTAACCCGATAGAGTAGCCGAGTAGCCCGGCCGAGGTTCGCTTGTTGCTGAAGTTGGAGAAGCAATCAAATTCAAAGTGAAAACCATTGTACAAGTGGTAGGTAAGTCCAATCCCACCACTGGATATCACCGACGATGATTGACCACTCTGTCGTATGGTGCCCAAGCCGGCGAAAAAGTGCAAACGCGGTAGCCCGTAAGAAGTCCGTAAGAACGGAATCTTTGTATACGCATGAGCGCTCATCGTCATCAGACCGACCGTCGATGTCGGTGCCACGTCCAGCAGTTTATCGGTCAAGTTCACACCCTGTAGACAGTTGCGGGCCACCGAAGCCAACGTGTTGATCCGGTCGTTACTTGAATAGCCGTTAACCAGCCGGGGCATAGCCAACCCGCCAACAACGCGAAACTGCAAGATAACACGATATGTTTTTAAACCCGTAAGAAACTGTACGGTAGTTGAAATAACCGGCAACATGTAGTATATATATATATATATATATACAAGTTTTACACCAGTTCATTGTAATATCTCTTGATCATTTTAAAATTTGGGCATTCTAAATATTAAGTATTTAAAAAAAAATACAAATTTTTATTTTTAATTTAGAAAAAAAATCAAAATAAAATATGTTAGGATGTATTTTTTGAAATTTTTAACTGGTCTGAAACAAGTCTGTTTACATACTTTTTGAGTAATAAGCGCGCATATATATTTTTTTGTTTATTTAAAAATTGAAATATTTGAAATTGATGAATAAATTCTAAAACTAGGAAAACTCAGTTTAAAATTTAGAATTGTTCCAGGAAATACAATATACCATGTAGGTGTCTTATGGTAATTTTTAGTTGAAAATTAAAATCAAAACGTATGTACTTTATTTTACTTTTAGAAAAAACTTAATTTACTTCTGACGAGTTTTGATTTCGAAAAATATCGAATACACAATGTTCAAAACCACGTTAAAAGGCAAAATCGGCTAGGCAAACATTTTCAATAAATTATTATTAATTTAATAATTCAATTTTTTATGTAAGTTACGATATAAGTTTCACAATAGTCGACAAAGCTCTAGAAAATACTAAAAAAAATAAAATTTGAATATTATCTAATATTGTGATATAATATAAACAAAAATGGTTTAAAAAAAAAAAACTGCAATTTATTTTAAACGTATTTTATACATTTATATTATTTTAAATATGTAAAAAAACTATTCATATTTTATGTTACAGTAATGAAATAGTTTTTTGTTTTTTACAACTGAAATAAAATTCGAAAAGTACTTATTCAAATCCATGGCTGTCATTGTTTTCATTACATTATTTCGCTTTTAAATGGGTAATTAAGTATGCATGTTTCTAATCGACTTTTAACATTTACCTACGCTTCGAAACTACCCTTTAAGATAATGTTTTTTTTATCAAATATATTCTAAGCGATTTAGTGTCTACACACTGTATGGATTTTATTTGGAAATATTTTTATTTCATTCTAAAAATCACTGCAACATGAAATTTGGAAAACCTTGTACGTATCACTGCTCCGGTAGAACAATGACACAGCTGCAATAATTGAAATTTTACAGGAGAACCAAAACGCCAAATTGTTTACACATCGATAGTTCACGAACGCACAATTAATTACGAAATTGAGGGCTTGACCAGAAAACGACCACAGTTGCATCGTTTTTCGACGAAGCATTTAGTCCATTTTTACCGAATTTTGCAGCTGTGTCGTTGTTCTACCGGGGCGGCGATATGGTGTTCAACAATTCTCTGATCCGTGTCACTAACTAATGCGATAAACAAAACAATAACTGTCGTACCCGGACCGCGGCGTCGTTGCCCAAGTGTAGCGTGTGCTGGCCTATGAACTTCGAAGAGACGAACGCGTCGTCGGTGGTTAAAAAACCGAATTTGTTTGTCGCTGTCATTATGAGCCCGGGGGCGGGTAAAGTTTTTTTATGTCTTCCGCCGCCCGTGTTGTCGTAGGAAAACCGGTTGGTCAGGTCCACTTGCCACTCTCTGAAAATACCCTCCCAATGTCCGGGCTGCCTGTAAACGTCCAATTGAACAAACTGCTGAAAGTTCCTCAACGGCGACCACCTCAGACCGGCCGTCGCGCCCATGTACTTAGCAGGACAAGGCCGTCGCCACGTGTTGTGGAAAAACGATAAGAAGCCCGTCCAAGTGGCCGCGACCGGCAGGTGAGCAGTCAACGAATTTTTCGAATTGACGTTTTTGTCCAAAAACGATTCGGCAGTCAAAAAGCATCCGTTTTTTACGTTCACGCACCTAGGGAAAAGGACACGGACATAAATTACAACTTAGTAGGCTCTGGACGCGCACGCGTATCATCCGGAGTAATGACTTATTGTTATATTTCGCAACAATCCCACCGTCATATGTCTTAAAACTGTCCATTTTGCTATCTGTATTATACGTTTTTAGCTGGAGTCGATCCAAAATGGTCGCACACGATCCGCGGTATCGACATTGTGACAATAATACAAGAAAACCAGGTAAAACGAAAAGAAGGGGACGGGAATTTATCAAATCCGAAAACTAGGGAAATCAGCTGATCACAAGACACGTTTTTATGACTCGATGTCATTTCTTCGAGGAAAATATAGATTCCGAATAACCCTTCCCAGTTTTTTTTCTGCTTCCTGCAAAAATTTGTAAATCAGTACAGGAGGAGTTAACAACAAAGTTGGCTTAAGCAATTATTTAATCAGAATGCGATTTCATAACAATCAAACGCTTCGATACTATGCGGCGATTAGTAAGTATCTAGCATTGTCTAAACTAGAACAGTCTGAACCAAGCACAGTATAAGCAACCCAGCATAGTGATAAATTACAAAAGTGGGGTCCTGTATGAACAGGATGTATGATTTCAAAATAGAAAGCATTGACTTTCACAACTTTTGCAAATGATTTTTTATCTATAGAGGTTCTGCTCAAGTCTCAAGTAAATCGGCCCAAAGGAATACAATTATTGTGACTACACACGAAAAAAAAAATAATCATACTGCGTTGGAAAACCAATATCTTTGGTGTTGTAAATATATAATGTTCTAGACACTTTATCTTAAAAATATTATTAAAACTAACCAGTAAAGTGGATTTGGGGTATAGGGGTAACGGAACATATAGTGATTGGGGAGGTCACAGGCCTAAATGAATTATTACAACTGAAAGAGATAAAATCACTTTAAAATAAACGCTTCGCATTGAAATGGTAGAATTACAAATATCGCTTAAAGTATTGTAATGACATAACGTGCTAAAAAAATATATTTTTATGGCAAGGGTGGATACGATTTGGGTTGACCGTCTTTCTATAGTAATTTATTGCCAGTATAACTCAGAACCCATACATAGCAATTAACAATATGATAAAATTGTTTTCAATATCCGTTGTCTGTAGATTCATTGACACGTAGCAACCTAGACATTTACTATGGCCATAGGGTAATTATCTCCATTTTTTGGGGGTTTTCCTTAATAGGACAAATGTGGGACTACAGATTTTCGAGAGAAATGTATATGTTATAGATAGCTGCTCATTCTACATTGGGATTAATTTTTATAGTACCAAGTACCAATCGCATCCGGAGTTGCTACATGAGTAAAACAGTCCACAGAAAAAAAGTTATCGAATCTAAGAGCAATAAATACACCTAATCAACTTGCGTTAAGTTGCTGATCTCCGAGAGAATGATTTTAGAAGAAAATCTTTGGATAGGTTTTCGATATAAACAAAAGTCAATGGAGGACTTGAAAAAATCAAGAACTACAGCAAACGTGCCAGAGATCATAGTTGTACTAGAGTTACAAAAGAAACAGGCCATTAGGGCGCCCACGTGCAAGATGGGGAGATCGTGAAATGGATACGACAGATCCAGATCCAGATTGGAGGGAATTAGCTTTAGACGATAGAGAGATGAAACTAGCTTTTCTTTTGTCATTGCGGTACCTTCACGACCGTAGACTGGGAGAAGAATAATCGTCTTACGTTAGCTGTACTCCTGCAGAGGTTTCGCACACGTTCGGGTGCGTGGAGACCGACAGATTGCTTGATCCTATTTGCCAGGAGACAGGTTTAGCCTCTTCAATGTCGAAACACAGCCGGTAACCGTTGGGAGTGGCATTGAGCCCGACGCTATTCTCGACTGTCACTTGGACCGATTCAAAACATCGAGTCTGTTCTAAACGGGTTCTCGCTAAACGAGCTTCGTGGACGATATTGTCGAACCCATTGACCTCCTTCAAGCCGGCCACGCACATTTCGAAAATGTCTTTTTTGACATTTTCCAATCCGCGCGCAACTATGGCGTCGACAACGGCTGTCGCGTCCGTAGAGCACTTGCTCTGCTTGGTCTCTTTCACCGTTACACCTTCCCCTTTGAAAATGGAATTTTTCAGGATGAAAGGCCCAACAGTGTCCTTAAGTCGATTTAATAAGTCCATGATTGGATTTCAGAACACGCGATACACGGTAGTTGAATTGAGCAAACGATATATAAATAACATACAAACAAAAATTAGATAACAAAGAGTTGTTTATACTAGTAGTTTAGGAGAAAATGTTATGGGTTACAACTTTTGTTTTGAAATTTAGCCAGCGTGTATAACGTTTGTTATAATTACCTACATAGAATCTTTAGAATTTTTGGTTAAGTGACTTTTTTTCTTCTAACCATTTTTTAAAGTAAAATTTGCCATAGATTTTATCAAATTTTTAGATAAAAATGTCGATGCCTTTATAACACGAATCAGCTTAGATCAGTGGTTTTCAACCTTTTCAACAACAAGGCACACTTAATCTTCCACAAAATTCTTGTGGCACATCAAACCATAGATTTGATTATTTATTTCTAATACCATCTTGATTCTAGAATCTAGATGGTATTAGACTTAAGAGTTAATGATTGTAAAATAAATTAATGCAATGATGAATAGTTTTATACGAGGATCATGTTCATCACCCGACCAGAAAATCCTATGTTTAAATAATTTTCATGATACTGACGTCTGATAATATTTTTTGTTGGTTCACTCATGACTCACTTAAGTGTTGTTAGCAGAACGAGGTATAAATTTATCCATAATAATAATTATTATTGAATAAAAATATGTAATTAATTTAAAAAAAACCATATACTGTTATATAAAATAAACTAAATATTACGCGATGAGTATAATAATATAATGTAACTATAGTTGTGTCCCGTGCACTATACATTCGCACACAAACGAAGACAAAAATAATAAAAAAACTAAGTATAAACATTAGAACCACCGTGGTTGAGATAAAAAAGAACTAATCAAAACAATATAAAACCAACCGGTCCAGACGTCTGGCAAACTTCAGAAAAATAGGATTGAAGAAAAATGACCATTTTAAAATAATATAAATAAATTGTACATTTTATTTTCGGTTTTTCCATTATTTTTTTTGTCGTTGACTGCCAATAAGCTCCATAACACGAGGAAATACTACACACTTATACAACTTTTAAGATTTAACGCACACCTCGAAGACGCTCACGACGCACCAATGTGCCGCGGCACACCGGTTGAAAACCACTGGCTTAGATGTATAATATCCTTTTTCCCCGATTTAGAATTGATGAGAGATTTTTAGAAAACGATCCAGCGACAGGACAATGATCACACGTTTATCAGTGCTAAAGAATTACTTAGTTTTATTAAAATAGTCAATGACACGGCAGACCGAGCGATTAAAATGATAGAAGGTTTCAATGAGGCATTGACAAGCAATGGAGAACAAAAGTAAATTATCTCATGTTGTGATCAAGAAAAAAAACCAGTACAGTGGGGTCGGGGCATAGTGGGGACGGTGCATAGTTGGGTCGGGGCATAGTGGTGACGGGGAGGTCACAGGTTTACAGGAATTTTTAAATCTGAAAGTGATAAAATCACTTTCGAAAAAACGATTGGATGCAAATCGGTAGTTAGTATTTTCAAGCCAGTACAGTCCAAACCAAGCGCAGTATAAACCAGCAAAGTTAGAAAGTTTTAAATGAAGGTTCTGTATTTACAAATGAGCATCAAAGCGTTAATTTGAAAGTGATTTTATCCGAGAGGACTAGTACAGTAGAGTATAGGCATAATGTAATCAAAGCAATGAGGAAACAGAGAGGTCACTGGTCTACAAGAATTATTATAAATAAAAGTGATAAAATTGAATAAAATCGCTTTCAAATAAACGCTTTGATGCTCATTTGTAAATACAGAACCTTCATTTAAAACTTTCTAACTTTGCTGGTTTATACTGCAAAGTATGCTGGTTAACTTTAAGTCAAAAGTGGTACTTGAGCACAAAACCTAATAGTATCATTCTGCATAGGTATAAATAAAATTGTTTTAATGATTTGATCAATTTTTTTTAAAGATTTTAGGTGTTTTTGTTAAAATATACGCAATGTGCGAAAACACGGTTTTCCGGCAATTAAAAAAAAACAGTAGTGCCGAATTTTTCACCCGCTTAATATGTTATGGATACATATGAGTTCCAACTACTGGCAAATTTTCAACCCAAAAGTTTTAAAATTACGGCTAAAAACCCCGAAAAACAAAAAAACTTGTACCCCCCCTAGGGGGCGGGAAATGGGTATATTTTGAATTTGACAAAACTGACGTGCGCGGGCATACCTAATAAATATTTCTTATACATTTCAACTCGATCCGACTCTTTTTCTCGATACTATAGCCAGTAAAAGTTCTAACTTAAAAACTCGTACGGTTTTTTTTTTGTTTTTTCAACTTTCGTCTGTGAAGACTTAAACTTTTTCAACTTTTACCCCCCCAAAGTACAAACTAGACAAAATTTGTGATTTATAGAGTTGCTATTCGAAGGAATTGGTCAAGTATTAAAAAAGTTACAGTGTATACAGCGAAAAAAAAAGCCCACATCAGAGTAAAACCAATACCTTCTCGCTTTGCATCGAAGCTAAAATGTCATCAAGATCAGTTAAGTAGTTTCGGAGTTCATCGCGAACAAACCGTGTGAATGGAGATTTTTATACGTATAAAGATATAAGTTTATAGAATAATATTAGGATATATATAAGGATATAGAAGGATCTTTACATCAGAGCACTTATTTGTTCAATAGGGTGGAATTCTCAGCGTCAAGCATCAGACACGCTAAGTTCAACCGAAGCTGAATTTGTCGCAAGTAGTGAAATTATAAGAAACTTAATTTGGTATAAAAAATTGTTAACCGAATTAACAAATGGAAAGAGATTGTACAAACCCATTTTGTAAATAGATAATCAAACTACTATTCGTTTGATTAGGAATGTAGTTTTTCACAAAAGGTCAAAACATATTGATATTGGTTACCATTTCATTCGGGAAAAGTTTGAAGAAGCCGTATTTCAAGTGCAGTATAAGGCGTGAGGAGGGTCATAGTAAATATATATTTTACACACATCAATTTGTAGTTATATTAATAGCCATATAAAAATTATAACTATTAAATACATCAAATTCTCAATACCTTCATTAATATACGTATTTAATATAACTGATATATTTATTATAATTAGCTTAAGACTAAAATTTAAAGTAAAACTCGATTTTCGTACGTAGTCATTTTAAAGTTTAGTAAATACTACCGATACATTAGTCATTATAAAATCTTTGCAAACTAAACAAATATAATAAATCTGTGTTGAAAATTAGACCTCAAATTTTTTTTAATTTTCCACCAACTTAATGTCGCTGCTATTTTAGCTCTTCGTAATTTTAACAAAAAAAATGTATGTTTCTATTTTAAAATCTAAAGTTGCTATCGAAAAAACTCATTGGACATGGGGGTAAGAACATACAAATTTGTGAAAAATTGAGATAACATTATACAAACACAATATGAAATAAAAAATTCAATTATTAATTATACACGGTCAGATACTGAGTGGCTTATGATAAAACATTCACCCTGTACATGGATATTTATGTATAGTATACTTGTCTATGTTATATACAATGCTACAAGCCTTTCCGATTAAATTCCACTTGAACCTAACCTATGGTTATAGGTAAACTGCTATGAATATTATTGACGGCATGTGTATAGACACATAAATTGACTATAAATGATTCTTATAGAAACTTAAAAATGAGCCAAAAATGTTTTAAGTAATAATATAGAGTGTAATACCCATTTCAGTATTTTGCTCACTCTATATTATTCGAACCTTGTCGAAATGATATTGTTTTTTATTTAACTAATGTCGTCTGTACAAATAGCTGTATTGTATATTAATAAATTTTACTTAATGTCATATTTTAAATACTGCATCGAAATTCAGCATAACGCTGTGCCTGACTTTCAATTAAAAATTCATTTGTTTCTTATTGTCGTACTGCATACAAGGTTTTCGAGAAAATGATTGTGATAATTATACTTGTGTTGGCGTATTTTAACGTTTTAGCGATAGCAACACGAACTGACCAACATTTTCAAGGAGTGGTAAATATTTTAGTCGAATAATGTCTTTTTTGTTGTTCGTTTTAGTAGATACGATAGTTATATTATGTTTTTGATAACGCTAAAAAATGTTTTACGTTATTGGGATGGAAAATTAAAGTAATTTTATCATACTATAAAAATTTTACCATACATTTTTTAATGCAACAGTGTAGTAGGTATATTTATATCAACTATATAAAATTATATTATACAAACCCAATAGTGTATATGCAAATAATGCACATGTAATATGACTCATTGATATGACTCATTGTACGCACCTGCATCCGAATAATACCATGATGTACTATGCTAATTATATTAAATAAAACAAAACACACGTCATACATTGTGCTGGCCAATCACAGAATCACAAAATGACGTAAATAGCTCCCTCCACAAACACTGGAAAAAGCCTTCAATTTTTGCCCTTATTACCTATTGTAAAAACACAATAGCGGTCAGTTCTCAGTTGTCAGTTGCCATCGTCAGTTCTCAGTTGTCACTCGTTTAATTCAGTCGTCGCACAGTGGTCCGAGAGTGAATTCTAGGCGCTCAAAAGTCCTATTAATAAATATGCAAAAAAATATCAAAACAATTATGAATTATTAATTTTAATATGTTTATTAGACATAATATAAAATTTCAAGGTCATATGTGTACCTGGACGTTTTTTATTGCTATTTAAAGTTCAGTTTTTATAGTTTGGCGGTTATTTTGATTTAAAAAATAATATTTCGTTTACAACTTTTTTACCCTGTGATATTTTTAAAAAACAATTTTTAATTAAATTTTTTAATTTAACTAGTAGATAACCAAAGGAAAAAAATATTTTTTTTTAAAAATAATTTTTTTTAAACTAGTTATGATAATTTTGAATGAAAAATATCAGATGTTTTACATGTTTTTTTTTTTAAGAGAGTAGTACTAAAATTTGCCAATTTTTACCCACATAGCAATACATAGGTGTTGTAGAGCAAGTATTCAGGTTTTTAAAAATATTAATTTTTATTGCGACAGACAAAAATTAATTAGTACACAAGGCAAATTAAAAAGTATGATTTTTCAGTTTAGCGGTTATTTTGTTTTCAGAAAATAATATTTCGCTTACAATTTTTTTACCCTTTGATATTTTTTTTTTAATTTAACTAGTAGATAACTAAAGGAAAAAAATTATTTTTTCCAAACTAGTTATGATAATTTTGAATGAAAAATATCAAATGTTTTACATGTTTTTTTTTTTTAAAGAGAGTAGTACTAAAATTTGCCAATATTTACCCACATTGCAATACATAGGTGTTGTAGAGCAAGTATTCAGGTTTTTAAAAATTTTCCGATAATGTTGAAAATTTATTTATTATTAAAGCTGATAGTATAATAATTGATGATTGCAGTGATGACTTAATTGCATCACTATCAGCATTAGAAATAAATTAAAAATTTCAGTAAATAATCGTACTATTTCATTAATTTGCCTTGTGTACTAATTAATTTTTGTCTGTCGCAATAAAAATTAATATTTTTAACTGACCCAATATACAAATTGCAAATTACTAAATTAATAAAGAGGGTTTTCATTTATAGAGTTCACGTTCAAATGAAGTTAATAACAGTTAGTTAAACTGATTAGGAATCTGAAAATATTAAGCTGCTCGCACTTATATAGTTTGGAAGTTATAGAGACAATTACCAATTACATATTTTACTCATTATACATTTTGATCTGACACCTTATAAAATCCCTACAAATGTCCTAAAAAAAATGTTTTTATGCTCAACAATTTTAAAATAATGCACCTATAATATTATAATATTTTTTTTTTTGATAAATAATAACCTATTATATCTATATACTAATATTATCATAAAATAAACTTATCAATGATAAGTTTCGTATAAAAACCAAATTTAAATGAAATTCAAAAGAGTATCGGTAAAAAAAGGTTATACAGATATCTAAGTTTTGACATCGAGTACTTTCAAAAAAATTTCAACTGTCGATAAATATAATAAAAGTATTATATTATATTATATTATTATATTTTATTTGTTATAAAAAAATATCTTGTTAACATGTAAAATTCTTAAACCGATACTTAAGTGGTTTCGAATTTTAGTGGTTAATGCGCCATAAAATTCTTAAACATTGAAACAAACAATTTGGAAATAAAAAAATTGCAAAATTATTATTTTTTGTTTTCATTAAAAAGTTATAACGGATTTTTAAAAAAGGAGCTCACCAAGCTAGGTTAGGAAAAAAAGTGCTTTGAACTATTAGCCCTACTCATAAAAATGTTTATAGTCATTTAAAATGATAACTTAAAATTGACTAGTTACTTTCAAACTGATAGCATACGGCAACAGTAAAGGTAATATCGTGGAGTGTTGCATTACGCAAGATACTTAAATGTCTAGTGAGAGCGCAATGTTTTCACAGATTTGTAATCAGCATGACAAGTTCAATTGATAAAAAAAAATAATGGAAAAAAGAGTTTTCGTGTGAACTAGATTTGTTCCAAATTTTATTCAATGAAATAATATAGAAATTGCAAATAACTGAATTTATAAAAACGGTTTTTATTTTTTTTAGAGTTCAAATACCATCATAAATAAACAGGTAATAGTTGGTTAACAGTTATTACAACGGATTTATAGTTTTAAGTACACGTTATAAAAACATTTTTTTTAGCTTGATCAGTAAACCATATTTTTAATCGTTTAATTTTATAAAGTTTAATTTTTAATTTTTCTTGTCTAAATTTTAAAACAATAATTTCCTAAATATTGTTGCTGAAATTAAAAATTTGTTGAGATTCTAAGCCATTTAATCATCCTATACAAATCAATAAAATACGAAGTAATAAAATGAGTAAAAGTGATTTATTATTATTATTTATTGCAGAATAAACAAATTTTTTTCAAGGGTGAGAGACATGAAGAGTAGAGAGAAGCGCTTGGATGAAGTGTAGGAGAGCATCAGGTGTTTTGTTTGACAGGATGATGCCAATGATATTAAAAGGTAAATTTTGTAGGACAGTTCTGAGGCCAGTACTGCTATATGGGTCTAATTTTGTGTAGTAGACAAGAAAACTGAACTAAAAATATATGTAGCAGAGATGACAATGCTAAGATGGATGAGTTTAGTGAATATAGAGGATAGAATAAGAAATAAACACATACTTAAGGGGGAGTGTAGAAGTTGCATCAATTGTGGGGAAAATGAGAGAGAACAGGTTGTTATGGTTCGGTCATGTTATGAGGAGAGATAATACAGAGGCAGGGAGAGTTGTTATGAAGATGAATGTAAAGAGAAAGAGAGGAAGGCCAAAGAAAAGATGGATGGACGGAATAAAGAGTAATATGAGAATAACTGAAGTGATTGAACGAGATGTAGAAGAACGAGCTCTATGAAGGCGTAGGAATGGGGTGGCTGACCCTATGTAATTGAGAGAGTAAAGCGATGATGAAGAAGATTGCAGAATTAACTAAAATAAATTCAAGGTTTCATAAAATTAACTATGAATACTGTGTTTACTCAATAATTATTTAGACTTTATTTTTAAATAAAATATAAATGCAACATTTAAAATTTTTATTTTATTTATGTTAACGTCGATCAATACAATTGAAATAGGAATATTTGGAAGAGCTGTACAACGCAGATATTGTACAATCGTTAAATTTTTTGCCGACGTTAATTGATAAAGACGATGTGGACATCAACGAAAATGACATTAGACTTCTTTCGGAAGAATGCTACTCTGACGAACGTTGTTTAAACGATAAAAAAACGTCCGTTAAAAAGTACCACCAGAAAATGCAAGCAATCCAGTGTATTCACGGATCGTTCATTTTGAAAGTTTTGGACGAACTGGAAGAAATCATATGCGACGAAAAATCATCCAACATCAGCCAGCTAAAGAAATTACTTCGAGGACTTGGAACATATTTTTATCTGACAAACATGATGTGCCTGTTACACTGGGCGAAATGGAACGCTTACGATTGGCAAATTGAAATTTTTACCTTTGTGTCGGGTCTTACGAATTCGGACACAAACATTAAAAAATACAAAGAACGTTTCAGAAATTACAACGTACGCATGCGAGAAGACGTGGTAGGGTTTATTGGCCGATGTGTCCACCATAAATATTTATCGTGTCCAGGCCAAAAAACTTCAGGGGAGGCACCGTTTTCCTGTCTTCTCGACAACGCTTACTCGCGTATGGACTTGTTGTACAGAATCAGTGCGTTCACCACCCACAGACTCTTCGAACACTACTCCGTACGGAATCTCATGTTGGTGCATTTGTATTCAAATGACGATTTCATTTTCGACTGGTCGACGTCTGACGTCGGACTTGAAGCGGAAAATGTCAAAAGCCAGTTGATGGAATACGGCACGTCGTACCGTAAACTTCAGTCGAAACATAAATGGGAATTGGATCCGATCGGCGGCAACAAGTACAATGCCCTGATAGCGAAATGCATCCGCTTAAGGATTGTGTACGCCGCATGGTTTCACTTAAATGCATATCACAAATTACTGAGCCGGCCTCTTGACGGAGACGTACGAGAGTTCATGGAGAAATCACTGGTCCAAATCTGGCATACGCTAGTTTTTCCCATCAAACGTGCCTTGAGGACGTTTGGATTTGACGGAAACATCTACTGGTCTGCAATACGCGTTATGATGGTCGACTTAACCAAGATTAGCAAACAAGTACTCGCGGCGCGGGAAGAGTTTACGAGAAATTATTTTTGTCGAGCTGTAGAACACTTAGGACTCGCCCGGGAATCCGATGTCAATCGAAAATTGCAGGAACTAGTGGTGGCAAACGGTGAAATGTATGACAGGATCAAAGCCAATGGCGACATGCTAGACGATTACACCGATGCGATATTACGTGCACTGAGTCCGGTCGACGGCACGTTTATTCGTATAATAGTTTCTGCCGAAGGAAATAAAACCTTTGTAACGCGTTAGACGATAAGGAATTGATAAATATTGCTTATATTTTTTTTTTTTGTGATTACAAATCTAATAAACCTACTCGAAATTGACACATGTGTGTTTCCTGTATAATACTTTTCTGCAAGCCTACGTGTTACATTAGCCTTAAAAGTATTGTTGAGCCTTAACATGTTTTTTTTAATATCTGGATAAAATAGTAGTTGACTTGTTGGCTCCTCGTATGCGGAGTGGAGTAGTATAACTATGGTGTATTTTCTTTTATCTCAGAAGTCGAGACAATTTTTTTCTTGGGTACTGTTTTACTCGAATCGAAATCGTATACGATTAGATGTATGTGTCATATGCCTAATTCTAAATAATCTCAAATCAACATTTAGTTTAATGTATTTTTATTTTATATTTAACATGGATATATTGTTGATTGGGATACAAAAAAGTTCATTTCGATATTCTCGCGTTACGCTTAGACATATTGTGTAATAAAATATTTGAGTTAAGAAATTAGATACGGGAGATTGGAGAATATAGGGAGGAAATAAGAGATAAATGATAATTGATAACAGATACTCCAAAACATATCCAAGATTCAATGTTTTTTCGTGGAATGGAGAAAAAACCTAATTTTTTTTGACGCAATTTTATAATGTTGGCCAACGTTTTTCTATAACAAAAAAATAAATAAAATAAACAATTTTTAACTGAACAAGTTTAGCTCATATGATAGCTCATATGTACTCGAATTCCTAGTTTATTAATATATGTCATATAGGTTTATATGTATAATAGTATCTACATGACGTGTATTTTTATGATATGTATATAAGACGATAGCAGCGACCGCATCATTCACCGGCATCCCACCAGGGTTTTAAAATTTGTTAACTATTTGTACTCGAGATCTATTAGAAAAACTCCAAGGGAACACGCTTATAATCTTATGTCTAAACTAGTGCAAAGGAATTTTTTTTACACATTTTATTAATATTTTTCGTCATGAAATTTTCGGTATTCACAAATTCTAAACTAATAACAAAAGAATAATATTATTTACTTGAACGTTTTTCCTATTAAAGTATCAGTACAAGGTTATATTTTGATAAACACTATAGAAATGGTATTATATGTTATAGATTATTGCTTAGCCATAAATTAATATTGTATCATATCAATATTGTATAATCGAGATATAAAATGAGTGTTTCTGTTACAAGAAAGCCCTTATGGCAATCCTCGCCATTTATATTTCTGCCACGCCACACAAGTTTGCATGTCTATAAATGGAACCAATTCCTACGAATGAAGGTGTAAATTGCAAGGTTACTTCAATTGTAGCGAATTAATCAAACATGATATATTTTAACTGTCTGGAAATCACAAACGTCACATAAATAAAATGTATTATTTATTAAAATGAATTATTTTCTTACAATATAAGGCGAACATGCCGAAGTGTAATTGTTTCAAAAATGCCTTAAAGTTTAACACTTCTTACAATGAAAATAATAAAATTTAGTGAAATGCACGGCCAGCTTTAAGGGAAACAGGAATTATAGAAATAGTGATGGGCAAAGAACTAGAATTAAATTATATACCTTTCACCCAATCCTGTGCAGGCCATTTTTCATAAAAATCAAATTTTATGTTTATTAGTACCCAGTATTATACATACATAATACATTATACATTATGCGTAATATACCAACAGAGTATAAAAAAATAATTAACACAAAATGTGGATTAAAACCCATGAATGTAAAACTAAATAATTTGTATATATAAATTATAATATTGAGTACTCAAACTAGCGCAGAACCATATTTTTTATCATTGTGAATACATTTATTTAACCCCTGAGCAGAATAGGTGTATTACTTTTATACTTTAAGTAAAGATAAAAAAAAAATTAAATCATTAAATAAACATCCGTATGCATATATACATCTTTGACTAGTGTCCTGATAAAAACAAATTTATGTCATTAATAGTAATTATTATGTTATATCAACAGAGAGTTCTGCCAACCATATTATGTCCTTTACTACCTATCCCATAGGCCATATGTTTGATATATTATGTTATGATAGTAGTGATAAAGTACTAAAAAAAATGGTGTAAATAAAAATATTTGTTATTAAATTAATAAATTAAATAATAAATTGTCTTGCATTTTTATTTACCCAAATGTATAGAAGAATAATAATTGTTTATAATATTATACACAATAATATTATGCGCAATAAATAATGCATATAAATATAAATATATTCTTATTTAAAATTAATATTAGATAGATTGCTGAGTTGCTAAACATTAATACTGAAAATAATATACTCTTTGTACAATACTATATTTCAATTATTATGAATTCGATATTTATTTCTTTGTATTAGTTATTTAGCTGAACGTACTAGTAACTAAGTAATGTTTTCGAAATTCCTTTCTAAAAATTCCTTCACTAGTATTCAGTAAAACACATATTACCTGTAAATCGAAAATCTACATTTAAGTTTTGTATAGCCATATAAAACAAAAAGGTAATAGAATAAGTATTTAGCTGTGGGTCTAAAGTTGAAAAGATAACACTATCGTTAATTTTTTATCAAATTTTAGATTAAATGTATAATATTATATAATATATTTTCAGTCTGTTGTGAGCAACGTTGCTGCAGAAATACGAGGACAAATAATACTCCATATTCTATCCATATTCTATGGAGTATTATTGTAGATCATTACTAAATAAATAATAAATTGAAACAATACCGGATGTTTTCCCTACTATACGGATATCGCAAAATAACTGTACTCCGTTAGTATTTGTTGATAATATATTTAGAGTTCAAATCAATCGCCAATATAATATTAATTTACGGTACAAAGGAAGTTATAAAAACCTTTTTTTTCCAACTAAACTGATTTACTCGAGTAGCGACTTTATATATCTAAAAGTGTGTGCAATTGGTATGTACTTTGGTGAGTCGAACGATTAAAAAATACATTTTTCTACTTCAAATCCAGTACGAATTTGCCGGTTTCTTAACTTCCATCTTTGATTTTAGCAAACACGGTTAGATCAATAAAAAAATATTTATTAAGCATGTCCCGATCCAAAAATTTCCAGCAATCCTAAGTCTAAATTATAAAGTACTATACTCTGCGCCACGAGAGAAGTAACCCGTTGCTCGACCGAAACGCGTCCGATTCCGCGCATCGCCACCGATAGGCCACACCCACGGTCGGCGGCGGCGGCGGCGCTGCATATATAGGGTGTATCATAACGTAAACTCGATACAGTGTGTCACAAGTCACAAGACTCACGTCTTACGATTTTGAACCACGCGCTTACTTTTACTGTTGAATTATTACATTATTATATTATTATTAAAATAATAATATAATAATAAATAATATATTATATAATACATATTTAATTTAAATATTGTTTAGTTTTAATTTAAATTTAAATATTTTTTAGTTTTAATTTAAATTTAAATATTTTTTAGTTTTAATTTAAATTTAAATATTTTTTAGCTTTAATTTTAATTTAAATATTTTTTAGCTTTAATTTTAATTTAAATATTTTTTTATTTTAATTTTAAAATAACAAATATACTTTATATATTATTATTATTATTACATTATTTTATATAATTGTCGTTTTTTGTCGTTTTTTGTCGTTTTTTTGTATAAATAAATAATTAATAAATAATAATAATAAATAATAAATAATTATATATATCATTTATAAATGACAATATAATATAATTATTCACAATTATAATAAATAATATACTCTATATACAATCACTCTGTATATCGTTTGTTTCGCGCTGTATGCACGCCTCAGCGCGACACTGAATGGCACAAAGTGGGGGAAATGGGACCTCGGAACAGTCGCGGCCGTCAGTCGTGATGCGCGAAACGGGTTACTTCTCTCGTGGCGCAGAGTATAGTCCTGGTATATTAGTTAGTTGCTCTAGTCCAGTGATTTAGATGTGATATAAAATTATTAGGAACATTCACGAAAATGTTTCGATGCGAATCTGTGGATACTGCACTCTACTTGGTTAATTTCTTATTGTGCCGATTCTGTGCTTGGTTTAAATGGTGCTGCTTTAGTCCTTTCTTGGTTTTGAATGTTTTGGACTCTTACTATTTACAGAATTCCATGGAATTGTTTGGTTGTGATGAAATCATCAAGTATCACCACCAGACTTTGCTAACTTTTTCTGTACACGAAACGTTGAAATCTTTAAAAAAGTTACTGTTATTGCCTATGACCATAGTTTGAGTTAATACGAGGACACAGACCATTTACGTTGATTTAAAGATTGTTGCAAGTGTATGTAAAAGGCATATTTTTATATTAATTAAGTTAAAATCTCAACTTCATTTGAGATTATCAACTTACCGAACATCCCTGATATGTTTTACAATAATCTTCATCCGTCGAGTTTACATTTGATAATTAAACGTTTTTGTTCATTTGTTTTTCGACCAAACTAATGTAGTATACTTACTACCATTTGTATATTTTTTAAATCAAAATTAAGATCACTAATATGGGATAAGCATGTTAAAGAAGTTGAACACTAGACTTTATATAATTAAAAAAATTCAATTTATTGTATCATTTTGTAATATAAGAATAACAAGTTCATAACAGTTCATATGCAACTGCCTATGTCAGTGGTTACATTTTTAGTAGGCTCGAACGTTTGTAAAATCTAATAGAGTTTAAACAAATGTTATGTTAGAATAATAATAAAGCTTTGAAATTATGAACATTTTCTTTATATATTTTTTATTAAACTAATGATTTACCAAAAAAATAACTTATTTAATTTATATCATAAACATATAATAGATAAATCCTAAATCGGAATTTTATGTGAAATATTAAAAATACCAGAAGCTACTGAATGAGGTCAATAAATGTATACATAGATTTAACAGCATACCTACAATTTTATAAAATCTTACATGCGTCAAAAAAAGCTTACATCCATATG